GCACCTACAGGGCCTGGCCTAAGAAAGGGCTGGCAGCCCCCTAGAGTCTCCCCTGGGGACACTATGAAGCAGACAACACATCCAGAAGGTTTGGCTGGGGCTGGATGGGGGGGCGCATGGGCTGGCCGAGGCCTTGGGAACTTGGGCAGGATGCTGAGTGCAGCAGCCCCGTCTCAGTCCACCCGCCTGCTCCAGCAGGCTCACCAGCTGACAGGCTGGCACCTGGCTCAGAAAGTTTCCACCTGGGTACCTACACACTGAAAACTCCCAAGCTGACGAAATAAAGACCACGTGCTGGGGGCAGGGAAGAAAGGTAGACGTCATATATTTATTATTTACAGGGTGTAGTAAGTACACAAATACAGTGGTCACACAAATGCACAGGTCAGACACCACCGACACACTGTACACACTGCCCCACGGCTCCTGCAGGTGGTGGGGATGCGACTGTCCACTGCCAGCGCTGAGCTCCAGAGGGAAGCTCCCACCTGCCCTGACCCACCCATCCCCGCCCCTGTCCCCACAAGCTTGCAGCAGCCAGCTCAGGGTCTGGAAGCACCCTGAGCCCTGTGGTCAGTGCACCTGTCGGTGTCCCGGGAACAGCACTCCTGTGCTGTGGGAGTCAGGAGGGACACAGACCTGAACACCTGAAAGGCTAACAGCTTCCTACAAGCTCCCCAGGTTCCAAACACCTCTGCAGTGGGGGGCAGGGAGAGTGGAAGTACCTACAAATGGACGCACTGCACCTCATCCCAAGACAGGGCCCTCGTCTACTGGCTGCCACCGCCTAGGGCCCTGGAAAGGACAACCACAGGCAGCCTGGCACCCTGAGGGTCTTTCTGGTGAGAATGAGACCCACCCTGCCTGCCTCCCGGCCTGTGGGCTCACTGCGTTCCAGGGACAGTCACAAAAGCAGGACACACCCTCCTGGACCTTCGGGTCTCAGGGTCACCTGCTCCTTGGCACTTCAGAGGGGCTTCCCTTGGGCCGGCCCCTTTCTGGGCAAACCTGCATTCCAGGTGGACACCCATCCTTGGTCTTGAGCACACAGACGTTAGCACACAGTAGGGGCTACTCGGCACCACTAATGTTTACAGTCTGTTTAGAAAATGCCCCCAAATCCAAAGGCATCGAGGCAACAACTACCAGCAAAGTAACTGCACAGCCCAGAAGGGCCCAGCCAAGCCCAGGCATGGCCTCCGCCTCCGGGTAGTGGGCACCTGGCTTCCACTGCCGCCCTTGCTCGCGGCCGAACTTTCTAACAGCCGACGACTCGAGTCCTGGTGGCTCAGTTTACGGTGGTGAGGGAGTGATGGCCAAAACCAGGTGAGGTCACAGGACAGCACACAACACACGCACAGACACACGTTACACGTGTACACGTGACAATTTCCGGAAGAAAACCCCTCTCCACGGTGGACTACGCCAAACAGAAGCAGGAAACATTGCTGGCGGCACTGGTGCCCTGTGCCTGCCTCAGTCTACACAGAAACTCCACGCCGTGTCTGAGCCGGGACATTTTGAGGTCAACATCTTTGTTAAGACCGCAGAAACAGACAAGAAGAAACAATAAAAAGATTTCTTTACACAGATTTAAGCCAGTAATTTTTAGCAAAATGATACAAAACTGTCAGAACCAAGTAGAAGGTGGTGGTTACAGCAGACTCGCCAGGGAGCGCGGACGCCACCGCGGCAGGGAGAACCGAGAGGCTCTGGACGGGAGTCTGGTCTCTGCAAGTGTCTCGCACTCGGCTTTTCTTCCCAGCCCCGTGACAACAGATCACGTGGGGCCTCAGTGGAGCCCCAGAGGTGGCAGCGCTTGGAGTCTGTCCGGTTTAGTCTGTTTTGTGTCCCCACGGCGTTGCTGGGTGGGTGGCCTGGAGAGCACCCGGTGTCCTAGACCGGGGAGCGTCACTAGTAAAGCCATGTAACAGAGTAGATCAGCCATGCATTCATTGTCTGCCCTTCACAGCAAAAAGGAGAGTTCTCATCGGTGCACGACAGACTGAAGACCACTGGAAGCCACCCGACCGGGAATCTGTCGGAGCCAAAGCACAGGACAAGGTCAGCGTGCGGCCGGAGGGCTGGCCGGTCAGTGAGGTACCCTGGGAGGAAGGGGACAGATGCGCCTAGCCCCACTCTGGACGCCCGAGCCCCCAGCCGCTCTAGGAGTTCCCTCTGCGGCCAGGACACGTGCTCAGCAGAACAAGTGACAGGAAGACGGGAGAAGAGGCATGCAGGCGGGGCCGAGAAGCGCGCCAACGACAGGACCAGAGTCCAAGCGGGAAAGAGATATTTGCTCCCAGCCACCCAAGTAACTTGGTGTTTTGAAAATGGGGCCAGGCCTCGTGGGCACTGGGACCCCCACACTCTGCGGGAGAGGTAACAAGCAGTTCCCATCAAGATGGCTCCCAGAGCACCATTGTGTTAAAGCCGCAGCAGGCTCCACACGGCCCTGAGCCCGACAGCCACCGGCCCTCAGCGGCAGGAAGGAGCCGCCCAGTGTGGCCGAGAGAGGGGAGGCACAGCCTGGGCGCCCAGCCATGCACGTCGGCAAGGAGCAGGCGGCTGGGCGACGGGGACACATGACAGCAGGGACAAGATGTTGGGCAGAGACCAAGTTCGAAAAGAAAAACAATGAGGAAGACAAACGCGGAGGGAAGAGATGACAAAGCCGGGACTGCAGAGACCACAGGAGTCTCAGGCAGCAAGAGCCAAGAGGCCCACCAAGCGCGGCCACTCAGCTGAGCGCGACAGACACACGACCCAAACACAACCAATCCAGTGGGACCCAGCAGTGTCCTGGGGCCACTGGGTCCAGTGCACATAGAGCCCCGGGCTCTGACTCACACAGGGGGCAGGTCCTGGGAGTCACCCGTTTAGGAACCCCCTGCAGTCTGCTTGCCCCCCACCCCAGACTGGGCACCTGACCACAGCTGCTCTGGAATCCTCTCAAGGGAAAGAAGGCGGAGGGACCTCACTCTGCAGCACTGACATGCACGACCAAGCCCACCTGTGCTCCCCTTGGCGAGGGGTTATTCCCGCCCCGCCCTGGCGCCTGCTGTCTGCAGAGACCGGCCATGAGCACACTCACCCAGTGCTGCCTTCCAACAGGAGACGTGCAGCTACTTGCCGTGGTGTTCGAAAGGAATGCTATTCTGAGGTGGGGGGAAAAGACAGCTGTTGGTAAGGGTGCCGCTGGCTGGCCCAGCATGAGGCCTCCTGTTTCTAGAAGCGAGTCCTCACCTCGCCTCCACCAGGTTCACCATCACTGGCCCGGGGGCCTCAGAAGGAACCCCAGGAACCGCCCAGGAGCTCAGCCTCACCTTTTACGAACTGCCCCCAAACAAGAGCAGCCACAGCTGCTCCTCCAGGATGACCTGCCACCAGGGCCAACAAGGGGCCGAGAGAACTAATGCCAGACAGCCGCCCCTGGTGCTGCTCACTGCCCAGAGCAGCCTGTGCTGGGCAGGGGCGAGGACAGCACTCCCGGGACGGGGGCTGGGCGCATCTCCTCACTAACGTGGGAAGGGTGGGACCTTATCTGGTGGGACCCTATGAATTAAAACTAATACAAAGAGTCAACAGCCGGGAACCAGCACTAGTCCCTCAGAGCTGCTGGACCAAGAGAAGAATGTTCGTCGCACAAGCTCCTCCACCAGATGCCCTCTGGGCTTCGTGTTATTTTGGCCACACAGGCCAGACTTGAATTCCAAAGTTGGGAATGCAGGGACTGGGGTCCCGGGGAGCTGGTCTAGCACCAGCTGCCGTTGAGAAGGAAGTGGGTGCAAGGAGGAGCGGCTCCCCTCCTGCAGAGTGTGAGCGCAAGATGGCCAGGGGTCAGGACAAGGGACATAGGGGCCAATGCCCCCACACCCAGCTGGAGAGGGTCAGCAGGTCCCCGAAAGACGGGCTGGCAGTGGCTGGAGCTGGAACACCTCGCTGTGCCAGGCACATAGGCACCGGACTCGCCTCTTCGAGCAGAGGAGATGCTGCCATGGAGAAAGTGGCACACACATGGCTGCTTCTCCTTCACCCCACTTTCTTTGGGAAGCAAGTGTGATTGGAGGCTACAGAGTCATGGAAATGGGAGGGACTCCACTTACTCCGTAACTTCCAAACCGCCAGGGCAGACATCGGAGGCAGTCACACCCCGAGTCTCCCAAGGAGCCTTGTACTGTCCCATAGGGGCAGAGATCATGCCCTTGGACACAGGGCCTTTCAGAGTCTCCTAAAGGAGCATCCATGGTGACCAAGGAAACCTGAGACAGCCACGCCCGGGATGATGCATCGGGACACACCTCCCCCAGGGCTCCTGCCCTCAAGTGAAGGTCCTCAGAAAATCTCTAGAGTGACCAGTGACGAAAGCTGAGGTGCTGCTTTTGAAGGGGAAACACCCCCAAACCAAATCTCTCAAGAGGCCCCACCCACATTTAGGCTGTTTGTTCCTTCAGGTGGAGAGCAGAGAACAGGAATATAAGGGGTTACAAGCTTGCTTCAGCTAAGACTTCCCAGGAACAGCCTTGGAGCTGCGTGCAGTCAGCGCTGGGGGCCAGCAGGCTGAGGCTGGCCTGGGTGGAGAAGGCTGGACTCGCATCTGCAAGTGCCTCACACCTGCGGGACCTCTGACTACATTTCCTCAGTGATCCCAAACCAATCAGACCTTTTCTTTTTTTAAAGTTAGGCTTGTTCCTTTCCTTTGTCCTTGCTGCCTGGGTCCCCAACACTTGGACTTCGAGTACAGACAGAGCCCTGGCATCCATAGGTGCTGGATGCCCCCACCTGAGGTGTCCGGGGCCACAGAGCCACCATATATGCAGCTGGGGGTGGACAGCTCCTAGGACCTGCTCCCAGCTGCTAACTTGTGGACTCCAGGGCTCATGGGAAGAGGCCCCTGAAACCCCTGCTGGGTGTGGGGAGGAGGCCAGGGGCAGGAAGAGGTCCCATCTCATTAGCCCGATATGCCTCACATTCACACCCCATGCATCTTGAATCTCTGGGACAACGCTATGGCCCAGAGCCTACCCGTGTCGAGGAGAATCACTCGTTGGTGAGAAGTGCCCCTGCCTAGCACACCTGTCCTCTGCCAGGTCAGTGGGTCCTGCAGCTCTCAGACCCTGTACTCTGACCACTGTGCCCAACCCGCCCCATTTGCCAACAATCCACACCCCACACCCAGCAGGCCCGGCCGTGGGGCCCGAGCTGACCGGTACACAGAGATGACATCACAGGGAACCAGAGGGGCTGCCTGATCACAGCCCAGGCCAGCCCTCCCCCAGGACACCCCGTGGAAAGGTCGAAGGAGAGAGGGACGGCTCCTAGGTTCCTGACCCCTAACCACCTTACCACAGATGGGGACCTGGGCTCAATGGAGAAAGGAGAGCTATTGTGCTGAGAGGCGCTTGCAAGACAGAGCAGCAGCAGTGGGAGCCCGAGTGGGAGAGGAAAACACGGAGGACGTGTGGGCCAGGCCTCCCGAGGATCAATGCAGAGGGACATCAAGATAGGAACTCTCACCACAGCATGTCACCAGCTCCTGGGCCCCAATAGGCCTCTGTGCACCCCACCCCACATGACCGCCAGCAGCCCTTCCCCCGGCCAGGCTCTGTCAGGGGACTGCCTGACCAACAAGGGTGAGAGGAGTCCAAGGCTGGGTGTGCCTACGAGAGACACCCAGTGCTAGCAGGCACGGCGTGGCAAGTGTGCACAGGTAAGACGCTGAGCCCCCGAGGCCAGCTAGGGCCCGGGCAGCGCAAGAGAAAAGGCCCCGTTACCTGTCCCAGCACGGTGGGAGATGAGCCCTGTACCCACAGCTGGTCTCAGAGGCTCTCGACCAAGGGGGTGAAAAGCAGCCAAGGGACAGCATCCCTCGTCAGTTCAAACCCTTTAAAATCCTCACCCCACTCTGTCCAGAGCCCAAAAGACCAGTCCAAACACGGAGAAGCCTGTGGCCAGTGTCCCACCCTTGGCGAGCTGGGCACGCATACCTGTGAGGTGGACATGCGGGAGGTATCTTGTCGGCCCGTGAGATCCGACGAGGAGATGTTGACAGGGGCGCCTCGGTGCAGCCGCATACTCACTTTCCGCTCTCTTTCCATGCCAGACACGGGCCGAGGAGAGGTGTTAGCTGAAGGGGAGTGGAGGGGGTGGAGTGAGGTCTTCCAACCCTCCACCACGGGGCTCTGTCCCCAGCACCATCCTACATCCCACTGGACTGTGAAAGGGGCTACCCAGGGCTCTGCGTACAATGCTGTCAGGGATGGGGAAGGAGTGGGTATCTAGAGGATGGTGGGGGGACGTGTGTCATGAAAAAAATGAGAGACTGTGAGACAGAAACTCCTGAAAGTGCCACGCAGGCTGCTCCCTGCCTCTCTGCCCTCGGGAGTTGGAGGACACAGGCATCCCCCAGAAAGCACAGCCACCCACCCAGACTCTGCTCAAAGCTGGCTCCCCCTGAGATCACACGCAAACAGAACCCTACTTCTTGCTGGGGACCACTCACCAGTGTGTGAGGTAGGGGTGAGGGGGGTGGGAGCAGCCACATCTTGTGTTCCCCGCAGCCGGCCTGAGGCCGTGGAAGGGAGCCCACGGGTGGCTGGATTTCGGGAGTGTCTCAATCGCTCCTCACGATCCCGGCGTTCCCGCTCAGCATCGTCAGCTGCCCGGCTGGCACCCTAGGAAGGTAAGAGGAGGAGACCAGAAGTGAGCTGGGTTTGTTGAGGAATATCCCAAGGCCCTTGGCTGTGCCCTGCAACTCAAGAGAACACCAGGGCATTTGGGACAAATCTGCTGTGAAGCTGTCAAAGCCTGCGAGACGCCTCTCCCTCCAGCACAACACACAGTGAGAGTGGGGAGCGAGCAATGGGCCTCCTCCGACTTCCCAGAACAGCAGAGGAAACCCAGCCCATGGCTATGGCACTTCCTCCAACCCCAAACACCCAGGCAGCTAGGTGGCCATCTTCTCTGTCAGCATGCATACGGAGACAGAAAATCATTTGAGGTTGTGACAGTTGGGGAGTCTGAGAAGCAGGCGCGAGCGGCAGCATGTGGAGAGCCGAGGGGTCCACTCAGCTCAGACCTCTGGCCCCAGGGCACATGTGGTGCCAGTGCACACGGCACGAGGAGGCCAGAGACCAGGTTTGTCCCAGGTGGGCCATGTAGTGGACTTGGACACAAGCAGCCCTTCACTCTCTGTAAGAAACGAGCTGCTGCACAGGGCCCTGCATGTCACGAGGTACAGCCAGGACAGGATACCGCACAATGAAGCTCACACAGTTCCTAGCCTGACCAGCCGAGAGAGCCTGCAAACTGTGGCCCTCAGGCCAAGTCCAGATGCATTTACTTCTGCGATCAATTCACTGGGCAGCCATGCCCACATCTACACACTGCCCAGAGCGGCCTTCTGGCTACAACACAGACCCGGGTGGTTGCAGCACCATGCGGACTGCAGGGCCAAAATCATTTACCACATGACCTTTATAGAAAAAGCTGGCCAAGCCCTAAAATGAGGTCCACTCTGATGTCCAGACTCTGGGTATCTGCAGCATCACTAACAGGGCCGTCACTGAAAGGCTACCCGGGGCGCCCTTCCTCCCAGCACCTGGCTCTCTATGGATGACACAGGCTAGGTCTGGGTCAGGCTGGCTCTGTGGG